GCTGCTACTGCTGTGATGGCAGTGTGAAGCCCCAGCTCCTCAAGCCACAGTTGCCTCAAAGGCATCCCCTGTTAGTCCAGGAGGTGGAGAAGGAGCAGAGACTCTCTTTGGGCAACTCCAAGAAAGGAAGCCTGCTTGCTTCTGTGCCCACCTGTACTTAGGCTAGATGTGGCCAGAGGGATGTGTCCACTGTGTGCTGGTGCCCATAGGCACAGTGCAGGAGAAGGGGCAAGCTGTCTGCTGCGACAGGAAACCTGTGAAACCTTCAGTGATGTAAGGGGCAAAACTCTCCTTCCCTTAGTCCTCCTGGCCAGATCCAGAGGTCTGGTGGTGGGCCTGTTAAGGAGAGGCATATGTCCAGACACTGGAACAGGTTGCCCAGAGAAGTTGTGGATGCCCCCTCCCTGGAGGTGTTTAAGGCCAGGCTGGATGAGGCTTTGAGCAACCTGGTCTAGTGGAAGGTGTCCCTGCTGATGGCAGGAGGTTGGAACTAGATGATCTTTAAGGTCCCTTCTAACCCAAACCATTCTGTGATTCTGTGATTCTATGTTGGGGTGTGATATGGACGCCTAGCCATGAAGCTGTTCACAGAGTCCCACCTAGTAATTCCACATTTAGGTATGGTCTGGAAAGCTCCAGGTGATACATAGGTTGTGAGCCTGTAATATTGGCACTCTGTGTTAGGTTTGTGGGGGGCCCGTTTTTTTTGGTAGTGGGGGAAGGGCCACCTTGTGAGAGCTAAAAGCTCCCCTGGCTCCAAGGCAGAGACCCCCCAGCCCAGTCTGGGCCAATGAGCGCTAGAGAAACAGCTCTGCAAATACGTATTTGTGAGGGGAAGGACTGTCCTGAAAAGAAGAAGGTGGGGTGAACCTGGAGGAGAGACCATTGACCTGAACAAAAGATGACCGTTGGCCTAAACAAAGAGAGAGCTTAATTGCCAGGAGGGAGGAGGAGGAGGAGGAGAGGGAGGACAGAGAACTTCAGACACCCAGTTCAACCCCATGGAGTAGGAGAAGGCAAAGGAGGTCCCTGCAGCCCATGGAGGTTCAATGGCTGAGCAGATACCCATGTGTAGGCCATGGAGGACTCCACGCTGGAGCAGACTGGAGCAGGGAGCCGAGCCCAAAGAGGTCCATGACTCCATGGGAAGATCGCTTTGAAACATCTTATTCCTGGACTTTCATGCCAGGAAGAGTGGCAGAGGTGAACAGACTGAACCCCCATTCCCTGACCCCTGTGCTGCTGGGGCGGGGGGAGGTAGAGAAATTGGAAGCAAAGTGATTTGAACCCAGGAGGAAGGGAGGGGTGGGGGAAGGTGTTGTAAGATGTGGTTGTTATGTCTCATTGTGCTACTCAGATGATTTGCAATGAATTAAATTGATTTTTCTTCCCCGAGTTGAGCCTGTTTTGCCCGTGACCATAACTGGTGAGTGAGCCGTCCCTGCCCTTCATTCCTAATCCATGGCCCCTTTGTTGTGACTCCCATCCCATCTCACTGGGTTGGGGGAGTGAATGCAGGATCGCATGGTCCCACTGTGGGTCAAACCACCACACACTCATATCTGAGAGCACAAGGTAGATGAAAGGAAGTATGAGAGGAAGCCCTAAGAGAAGCTCAATGGATTGAAACATCAGGCAGGTGGCAGTGGGCAGGTGCCTTCCTATCTGGCTTGTGTATGGGGAGTGATTTTAGCATTGAGAAGGACAGGGATCTGGGTTGAGGTGGTTCAGATCACAGATGGCTTGGGCAAGGGTTATGATGGGAGAAACCAGGGGTGGGGGCAGAAGGCTTGCAGCAAATAAAGCCTAGCAAGCCATAGCTGCTGAGCTGAAGGTGATGAATGGTGAGGACACACAGAAGGAAGCCTTGGGGCTGAATACGGCCATCATCGAACATTGGGGCTGCTGGTTGGGGGATTGAGGAATGAGCAAAGATCACTGAATGGAGATTTCTGTTCCAGTGAGGACATATGCATTGTCAGGAGGCATGTTTGTGCTCTCGAGAGGGGCAGTCACGCCATTTCGACTCAAACCACTCACTTTTCTGTCATTCAGGAAGGAAAAAGGTGTATGGGTTGGGTCTGGTGATCAGCCAACTCCTTAACTGACCTCAGCACTGCAGGGGAGGATGCTGTTTTGCTGCCACAGCCAGAAGGCACAAGCAGCTCCTTCACAAACATCCTCACTTCGTATTGGGGTCCCGATGGCTGAGACAATCAGGATGACTGCCACAGTGGGTCTGCTCCATTATGCCACAGCACTTCTCTCTCAAGACACTGTCATCCTAGGTGGGTGGCTGATTTCCTTCCCATTTCCTCAGATGGCTATGCACCCTGGCTTTAGCCTTTATACACACCTCCATCTCTCTGGCCTTCTCTGCTCAGAGCAATAAATACACCATTTAGGAATGTTAGTCTTGGAGTGTGGCATCTTCCTGGCCAGAGCTGGTTGCCTGATTGTGCACCTATGGCAGAAGCATTTCAGTGTTTTCTGAGGAGTCCTGTGTCCTGCAGGGTCACAGTCTCTGCTGCTTGTAATGCCTCCTGGGATGCCATGGCTGCCAGTAGGGAGAAGTCCAATCAGTCTCTGGCTCAAGACTTGTCTTTGGTCCCAGCTGACCTTCTTATTTTGGAGGCCTCCTTCCACACCTCTGGCAGACTCTCTGGCAGGTAGTTCCCCTGCTTTCTCCTTACAGGCATTTGGGCAGGGAAGATTGTGCTCAAAGGCTGGGCAGGATGCAATATACCTTGCTGTTCTCCTTCCTAGGAACATTTTACACGTGTTCCCTGGCTGCCCCTTTGGCTCCAGATGCCCCAAGTCTATTGGATGATGGAGCAGCTGGGGGAGGATAAGTGTGATGGATGTGGGGTAAGCACGCACTAAATTCCTCTGTAATCGTTTCTTCCTGGAATAGAAATGTAATTTCTTGTGTGCCTTAAGGAGATGTTCACATGGCTTTACAGCAGAATGAACTGCTCTGCAGCTCTTGGTTTCTCATGGTGCAGTTAAAAGCACACACAGCAACACTGTCAGCAGTTCTAGTGATATTAGCAATCACAAGAAAAGCATGAGATGAGCTAGGACTTTCAAAATGTTTTGCTTATTTTAGCCTGCTGTTTTAAAAGTAAGCTACTACACTTGCTTCCCACAAGTTGGTCACAACCCTGGTCCTCATTCCAGAGGGAACTTCCACAGCAGAACTCAAAACCCTCTCAGCTATAGCTATTACTGCCCCATAGTACCAGACTTGAGGGATTCCTGTGGAACTCCTTAGGCTGGTGAGAAGAGAGGTTGGAGTTCACTTCATATCCTTCTACATTGTTTAGAAATCACTTTTATTCAGAAGAAATAAAATTACTATTTTTTTTCCCCATCTGTAATCTGCTGACAGCTAAAAATAAATAAATCTCAGTGAAAGAAAACCAGCTCTATGCTTTTCTTCCTATGGCTGTCACGAGGAGGCTGCTGGCAACCTAAGAGCTGGAATCCCAGGCAACGCAAAGCTAAATGGCTTTGTGCTGTCTGCACATGCTACATTTAGGATTCCAAGACACTGAACCCTAATCCCACAGGGTATCAGATGTGAGGTTCCCAGAACTCATTCCCCAGGACTGGTGCCCATCTGGCTGCAGCCTTCAGCTTGGAAGGTGCCCTTCTTCACCACACTTGCATCCAGTCCTAGCCCTGACAGGAAGCTGACCCACTTGTCTCTGGGCGGCCTTGTAATGATGACTTGTGAATATGTGTCTAATTTTTTATCTTTGTTACTGCATTTGCCTTGCTGTAATACAATATGATTTTTCCTCTTGTCTCTTATACAGCACAGAACAGAGAGGCTATGAGATACTTCCTTCCAGCAACATGTTGTATATTTTTAGTATTTGGCCAATTCTTTCTTCTTGCAGATACAAATAATTTGGGTATTATTTATTATTGGCAATTAAAGCCCAGCTCCCCTCAAAACTTGATGGCCCTGATTTTGCAGCACGAGGTTCCAATGTGCGCGTCGAAATGGAGTCTGCTGTAGAGACAGAGATGAAGTAGAGAGAGGAAGCCTACTGCCTTGCTTACTGGGCAATCCTAAGTGCTAAGAAATTTAAAGGAAACAAACTCAGTACCTGTGTTAAGCAGTGTATTTTTCATCTCTTCTCCCAAATGTCTGTACAATGCTATACACATTAAGAAGATGCAGACTATGCAGGTATATGACTCTAATGAAGAGAATATTACCCAGGTATGTAAGAACATATGAATGTCCATACTGGTTTAGGCCAGGGGGCCATCTATCACAGTAGCCTGCCTCCAAGGTGACCATGCATGGACACCCAGGGGAGAGTAGGAAAAGAACAAACATATCCAATACTTTTCCCAAACACTCTCCCAGATTGTAACTCTTTTCAGCTGAGGAGATTTCCCAAACCATATGTGTCTACTGAAAAACTCCCACGAGTCTATATATAAGGTAGATGCCCACCTCAATCCATGTATGTTTTTTGCATCTGTGACATCCTTTAGCAAAGAATTCCACAGACTGACTATTAGTGTACAGATTTTATGTAAAATTTTTAAGTGGAACATGTATTTGGTTTGTTGGTGAAAGGGGGGAATGATTTTTGTGCCTTATGACTTTAGTTTCTCTACTATGATCAAGGAATGGTGGCTTCAGCTGCTTGGTGAATAATCCCTTTCCTTGAGAATCTCTTTCTGGAAGTGGAGTCTGCCTCACAAAACCAGTGTATATTGTTCAAGACAAACGATACTTTCTATTCAGGAGACACTCCCAACTAAACAGGTTTAGAATTTGGGATACTTCTTCATGTGGTGAGAGAAACTTCATGTGCACATTAGTCTATGCGTGCAAACTTTTTTTCAGAAAAAAAAAAAAAGAGCAAGAAGAATTTTGATTTCTGCAGGTATCTACTCCCTTGCTGGTAGAGTCACAATCCATAATCAAAGTCTTGGGAATTGTTTAAACAAATCAGATAAAACAAATTACACTTTCATGTGCCCTCACTGGCTGAAGAACCGGGGCTCCAAAATATACCCTGATATTTTGCAGCATGTTGTCTGTTCTTGGCTTCAGGCAGTAAGTGCAGAGAGAACTGCAGTGTGTCTTGTGCCTGGCAGGACTTACTCTTCCCAAAATTTACATCTTGGCTTGCTGTCTGGGTTTTCTTGGGCTTTGTGCTTTTTGAGGGGAGCTTCTCCTTCATTTTCCATTCTTCATTTTTGAATGGCTCTTTGCACTATGATCATGACCTGAGCCAAAAAGGAGGAAAACACAAATCCGTATCAACTACTATGAAGTTACTACTTACTAAAAAGGTACATACCTTTGGTTTCCTTCAGAAGAAACTGTAGTGTTATGGCAGAAACATTTCCTTTACTGAAGGAAAGCCACAGCATGATTCAAAATCTAGTACTAAAATGTGGAAACTTCAGCCACAGGCACAGGACCTGGTTTTACTGCTCCAGTGATATGATATTCTATTGTCACCCTCTGGAAAGGTTAATTCTATCACTTCACAGAATCAGACCATACATCCCTTTATGGCATGACATATGACAAACAATGAACGGATGGCTAGAGCCCCTCCCAACAGAAACTGCAGAAGGATAGTGCTGGGTTAGAGGCATTATCCTTTGCCATTAGGCTGAGGTTTTACAAGCTCTTTCCCCTGGGCTGTTCACAAAGAGGTTAACAAGCTTCTGAACCTCTAGTACTAGTCTCAGCTGGGAAGCTCCCTGAAACTGGTTCTGCTATCTGCCACAGAGTATCAGCTGCTGCTGAACACAGGAGTCTTCCAGCACTCCTAATATATTCCTACCATCATCTGTCTTCCGTCTTTCAGTACCTTGAGATAGCTAGACCAAGAAACCCAGAAAACACAACTAAATTCAATTCTGTGGTGTATTTTGAACAGAACAGTAACTGAGAAACCTTTAAAATACTGAAACGTGTTCTCTGCAGACTTGGAGACACTTTTACCATTGTGTTTCTTCATCTTCTGGGAGACCAGACTAAAGCTGGATGAATGGAAATTTTTTCTTGTGGATAGGATGGTAGCACGGCACACACTTTTTCCTGCCTCCTGTGGCACCGATGGGTTTTCATGATTGCCTTTAGCATCATGGGTGAGACTCCCAGAGCTGAAACATACAGCAGTCAGGCCAGAAAATATTTTATTTACACACAAATTAATGACAAGATATACAGACAGATGAGCATGCAGAATAGAAAATCCTTACAGGTAAAATTCCTGCTACTTTAGTCTGAATAATTTCCTAAGAATCATATGAGAAAAAAAAAAACAAAACGAAAGGAAGTAATTTACTGTATTTCAAACTGCAAAGAACCACAATGCCATCATACTATCTTAAGGACACGACTGCCAATATCATGTAGCCACTACACCACTAACCCTTCTGAGTCAGCCAGAAGTACCCATGATAGAAGCAGCAGAGGGTTAGCTTATCATCACAGAAGTAAAGACAGACATCAAAGACACTTCTTTCCTGTCTTATCAGGGAAAAGCCTAAAATTTTCCAGTTGGTATAGCAAAGTCTGAGCTGTAAGGTGCAAAGAAGGTGTCCCTGAAATCCCTTAGTGTGAGCAAATTCATATGTATTATTTCATAAGGTGTTTGTGGCAAGATCTTCTGTCATCTAACTAGCTGGCCAACTCCACTTTGCTCTGTTACCCAACAACAGCCACATGTACGTACATTTGGTAAGACACATAACATTTGATGCTATCAGTAGGTGGGTACGTATGAAAGTAATCAATACTGATCATCAGTGTTACTGCCACAGGGGCTTGCACACCGTAAGAGTGTACAACCTTCATTGTTCATTGCCAAAGCACCAGAATCTAGAAGTGAAGGGAATGCACTAGCAATGAGCTATGCACCAGCACCACAACAATACTGTTATATTAATATACTGTTATATATTAATATTTTAAGATATCCAACTATTCTAAACTAGTAAATGTCTGTTTTGGACTGTTTGTGACACCTAGCCTGGCTAGGCCTTTATTTTCTTACCTTTGCCCTGTTTCTTAGTAGCTGCATGTCCCTATCTTCTTCCCCCTTTCTCCCAAGGCAGCAGCAATCATCCTTTATTCCAGAAAAGCACCAGGTCAGTGCCTGTGAACTCGCGAGTCCAGCAAAGCTGGGGAAAGAAGCTTCAGCTATGTGCTGAAGGAAGGGGTCTGTGCTCCAGATGAGATGGAGGAAAGAGGATTCTCTGCTTCTCTGTGGTGATATACCTATATCTCTAAGTGATAAACTTCCACTGCAGCCTCTACCATGGGATGAAGTGGCCAGTGACAGGTGTCTAGTTTATGAAGAACAATGAAGCACAATGTCAGAGGAGCAGAAAAAGGAGGATCCTGGATTTGTAGAGAAATCAGGATGGGTTCATACTCTCACTCCTGCTCTGTGATAAATGCTAGAAACCTGCAAAATATAATAGTATCCTACCTGAAATCCTTTCCTACTTGTTTGGCACAGGCTGTAATTGGCAATTTTACTGTAAAAAGAAGAAACCATAAAAATATTGAAAGTCATCTCTTAAAAAGAAAGCCAACACAATGAAACATCCAAATTTTGTCTTAGCCAGTTCAGACTCATTAACTGGCTGAGGTTGATACAGTTACCTACAGTAAGCAGACATGGCTGGACTTTAAGCCATTTACTCAGATGACTACTTGTGGGGATTAAGACTTTCTTCATATTGAGCAGGTTCTAACTCATGTGCCCACCTCCCCTTCTTCATCTATTGCCTAATAAAGGCTGTTTTGGGATAAAGACACTCTAGGTAGCTCCCACTGAAACTGTTCCACTATGCATAGAACTGTAAATCAGGAAGTGAAGGTGCCAAAGGCAACGTGGTTATTTTGTTTTGGTATGCAGGCAGCTCTGTTGAAAAACATGTTCTCACTCCTAGTGTCTGCTCCACAGAAAGCAAGTGTCTGACATTCAAATGACACTGGACTAGAGTCGTAACAGACATCTTGAGAGAACGAGTACTGTGTCGAGCCCCACTGGCCAAGCACAAGGGTGGGAGTGGGAGAGAAGAGCTGGTGCCAGCCGACTGATCTTGACAGGTGATATGTGTTCATGAGCTGCTCAGCTGATGGCCACATCTCCTCAAGTGGCAAAACCACTGCTGCAGCCCAGGCCCCTGGCCTCTCTCTCAGCAAGACCTGACCTGGCAGATGCAGCTTACCAGCCAGCACGGCTCAGGTGAGCTGCAGCTGGCTTCAGTGCTGCACTGCAAATACCCCACCTGCAGGGCACAGTGAGGGAGGAAACTGCTGGGTAAGGTCCATGATCAACGGGTGAGATGAGCCAGGTCTGACAGTGTATGGGAAGGTATGTCCCTTGGACATAAATATTTACAACATTTTGAATCTCCTTTTATTCGAAGTGAAGAGGTGCTTTATATAGCTGATACTGAATTCCATTAATAATTCCATATTTAACCAACCTGGCCAAAATAAAGTAGGGAGGGCAAAACACAGGAAAACCCTCCAATTATATTTACATAGGTTTAAAAAAATACATTAAGAATGAACACAGGATACCCCTAATCAATTAATCCAGTCCTCTCCTATCACAGGCAAATCCTTCCTACAAACTCTTTCACAAACCAAATATTCATCTGTTAGTTTTCCAGCTACCATGCTACTTTGTTGGGGTTTTTTTTAAGTTCTCCAGGGCAAAACCAAAGTAGTCATAACGCAGAATAGCTCTGGGTGCACGTCTGAGTAAAAGAAGACAGGAATTCAGAACCAAGTACAAAGTCAATGCTAAAACGTATAACATGTCAAAGCATGACACTGTTAGATTTTCAGCACCCAAAGTGCCACCTAGTCCAACATGACTTTGAGTGTTTCCAGGGATGGGGTTTCTACTACCTCTCTGGGCAACCTGTTCCAGTGTTTCACCACCCTCATCATAAAAAATTTCTTCCATATGTCCAATCTAAATCTACCCTCTTTTAGTTTAAAAACATTACCCCTTGTTATATTGCAACAGGCCCTGCCCCATCTTTCTTATAAGTCCCCTTCAAGCAATTAAAAGCTGCAATAAGGTCCCTTCCAACCCAAACTATTCTACGATTCTATGATTCTATGATTTTAGGAGACAATTTTCATCCCAGAAAGTCTCATTTCATCATAAAGTGTCTGAACTCTCTTAAGTCTCATAACAAGATGTTATCTCCAGTTATTAAATACTTTGAAGGGTTCTCTTTTGCACTCTTCTTTTTAAAAAAAAATATTTAAAATAATTATGACACCAGAAGTAGTCAAAGTAATTCAGTATTAGTCTCAGAGAAGTTCTACAAAGAAGTCAAGGTAGCTTTTCCCTCCTTTTTTCACATAGGCAAGAACTATATTTGTCCTCATGGCACATAGGCAAGAACTATATTTGTCCTCATGGCACAGTATGAAGATAACTCACACTGAGCTACTTGCTCACTTTGACACCTAAATCTTTCCCAGATTTCCTAGTGCTTCCAATGACACAACTCCTCTGGTTAAGTTTCCTTGGCCTCCACATTTGCTTCTTTCCTTTTGTCTCTACTGAAACGAAAAAGTTCTGGTTGATCCCAATTTTACATAGGATTTGGCTTGCGTTGTTTGACTTCAATGAATGTTTTCTCCTCTAGTTTCTCTGGATCAAATGAACACATTATTACAAACACGTGTACCCTATTGCCAATAGGAGCAAATATTTTTTCACCTCTCTGGAGTTTGCTTCGGGCTCAGTTTTTCTCCAGTGAGACCATTCCCAATCAGTAAAGCAGAGTGTAATAATGTGATGAAGACAGTTTAAACTAAAGAAAAATGATCTCGTCCAAATACTGAGACTGGGTGAAATCCCAGTGTCCTGGTTTTGCTAGGATAGAGTTAATTTTCTTTTTAGTAATCAGAATAGCTGTGTTTTACTTTCAGTGTTTCAGTTCAGAGAGAAGAACGTATCACGAGAAGAACGTTGATAACAGTACTGGTTTTTTTTTAGTTGCTGCTGTAGCTCAAGGCCACAGTGTTTGGCTACTTCACAGCTGCATTAGGACTGGGGGGGGGGGGGGGCGGGGAATAGCAAAACCCAAAACTGGCATCTGGTTGTGCCAATGAAATATTCCATATCATATCCCGTCATGTCAGTATATTAACCAGGGTAGACTGGAAGACAGGGTATTCTCTTGGGGATCGCTCGGGATCACGTTTCCAGGGTTTCGGTTCAGGACCGTCTCGGCTGCGGGATCGTTAGCTGGCACAGGCTGGGAATTGGTCAGCGGGCGGTGAGCTCTGTGTATCACTCATTTGTATAGTCTGTTATCATTGTTGTTATCATTATCATTTTTCTTTTAATTAGTAAATAGTTTTTATCTCAACCCGTGAGTCCTTGCCCTTCTTTCCAAATTCTCTCCCTTACTCCCTGGGTGACGAGGGGGGAGGGTGATAGAGCAGGCTGTGTTTGGCTGCAAGCTGCAAGCAAAAGGGTGAATCCACCCAAACCACCACACCCAGCCAAAGAACTCTGTACTTATCTTTTTGGGACATACTCTTTACTGAGATGTGAGATTATAGGGGAAAAAAATGGCTTATTAGGATTTTAAGTATTAAACAAATATATAATGTTTACCTTTTTTCACTGAGTCAGGTACCTGAAATATCTTATGTTGAGTTTCAATGTGTTGAGTCTGTGAAACAGAATAGAAAGAAGAATGAATTATTAATATTATAAAGTTCCAAAAGACTGAATGAAAAAATGGTATCATCATCTATGATTGGGCCCTTTATGGCTTGTTCAAGGAGTGCACACTAGGTTAGGACAGGAGAAGCTTGGTAAGGCTTCAGTAACTCATAGGAAAAGAGTTAAGAGTTAACATGTACAGATCAGGCTTGTTTTCCTTTTCTTTCTGTCCTGGGTTTGGTTAGACTAGAGTTAATTGTTCACAGGGAACTGGGAGGGGAGCAGCTGGGGCAGCAGACCCAAAGGGGCCAAAGGGGTCTTCCATGCCATGTGACATCATGCTCAGTATTTAAACAGGGAAGTTCCAGGGAAAGGGGGGTACCGGGTACCGCGGTTCAGGAGCCGGTGGGGTGGTGAGCTGTTTGGTTCAGTGTATCGCTTGTGTTGTATATTCTTTCATTAGTACTGTTGGTGCTGTTTCTCCCTTCCTTACCATCCCAGTAAACTGCTCGTGTCTCGATCCATGAGCCCCATTCGTTTAAGTTTCTCCTCCCCATCCCACCGGAGGGTGGGTGAGCGAGCACCTGTGGTTAAACCACCACACTTTTTTTTTGTTTTCTTCTCCCCAAGCATAAGGCAACCTAGGCATTCAGTATTTGACCTGATTTTCAAAGGCTTAAAAAACTCAACAACTTGTGTTCACTTAGCAAGCTGATGGATGCTCAGTATTATAAAAAATATTTAAGTTAAATTCCTTTTCATGAAAGTAAGAACATAACATCAGACTCCACTGTTTTAATCTAGCGTTTTTAAGTGTTAAGCTATGATAAGGTTCACATTTTTTAAAGTTATTTAGGATGCCAAACAGCAACAATGGAGAAGTGATGTTTTTACAAAAGGTTAGATCTTATACCAAATATTCTGATAATGACCTTTTAATAAACTTAATCTCATGATAGTTGCTAGGCTCGCTAATGCTGAGTACTGAATCTCACACTCTGAATGGTAGGAAGGGGCATGATGCAGCTTTACAAATATTGCCAGCACAAGTATTTTGGAGCTGGTAATGATCCCCAAAGTTAATTAAAAAATGCACTCTCTGTTTCCCTAGAATGTCCCGTGACCTTTCCTTTTCTCTTCTTTTCACAACACTCTACTGGACTGGAAAACACAACAGAAAATGTTTTCACGGACTTGGCAAAAGTCTTGTTCAATGAAACTAGAAGTAAAACAGGTCCACCTGAGGGAATGAGGTGTTAGTATTTTGGAGACTGAAGAAGAGCTGGTATAATCTCCAGCTCCAAGTCATATTCCTTGACAGAAAAATCTAAATGTATCAGATAATATATTCACGAGATATAAATTTACCATCTTTTTCTGACCTAGACTTGTTGACGTTGACACTTCATTCACAGATGAAATAAACAATAAAGAACAATGGGCATTCTAGGTCAGCAGCTTTTGGTAACAAAATTGTTTGTCCGAAGTTACAGTGGTTGAATTAAGCTGTCATGGATCAGCCTCTGGTCAAAAAAAGAGCACAAAATGTTTCTACCAGGACAAAAAATACTCACTTTTTTGCTTTCATAACTTCTGTCTTCAGCAATGCTGTGAAAATATTCTCCTGATGTTTTGTTTTTTTTCTGCACAGAAAATGGTACGTAACCATTTTGATTCATGAGGGAAAATTATATTTACAAATAAAAAAAAAAGAATTGCAAATAAACATGTAAACAAGCTGCTCACAATTGAATTCCTTATGCCATTCTGTTCAGCACATATTTATGAACGTGGACACAAACATATCATATTGACAAGGGAGCATGCTTCCTACTCAATTTGGCTTGTTTATTTTTAGTCTGAGAACCTAGAAAGCCAGGCTTTCTCAGTAGTATTAATTGCCACTGCTCTGCTTTTCTGATTTGGGAGCTTCTGAAAAGAAAGACTGGCATAAAATGCAAAAAGCTTGGGAAGCACTGGTCTACCTACTGAACTAATGAAAGCATTAATAAAGCAGTCACAATTATAATGTATATGTACATAAAAATCAATATTACCCATCAAAATATTAATGTGACTTCTTCTTTCTTGCTTTCTCTAGGGAAAAATAACAGTGTTCCTATTTTACATCTGAGTGCCATATAGATTTCTAGGCTGAACATCAGCAAAGTGCCACTGACAGCTACGTACAGCTCCAGCATGAGTATCTGTCAAAAATGCTGCTGTACCTGTGACATTCCTTGCTATTCACCTTTTTCAAATGCCTTTAAGAACTTCTATCAAGAACAACAACAGAAATTTTGTTAAGTCTTTTGATCTAATAACCTTAATTAGACGCTGAAGTGTGACTAATATATATATATATAGGAAAACACACATAATAATGAAAAGGACAAAAGTAAGACACTTCTTGCAGGAATTGTGTTACTGTTCTTCCAAACTTATTTGATAAACTGTTGTTACTTTCTTTATGTAGTAGCAATATCACTCTGGCATGTTTTCTTACTCGTATACATCCAGCAAAAGCACTTTAATTCATCACATGAAAGATGCATGAATGCAATTTGTACAATTTCATCGTTACAGAAGAGGACCTAGTGAAGCTCCACTTAAGTAATATAGTTTTGCAGTGTATACTGGTGTTTAGAGGTATTGGAAGGCATACCCTTACAGAATCAGGCTCTTATGTGGCCAAAGCTGTGTTCAGTCCTGAACATGCTCATTCTCTCCTAAGGCAGGCGGGTGATGGGATGGGCTCTGTACCCAGAGGGATCTCTGCTTTACTGTGGACTAAATGAGTGGCCCATTTGTACAGTGCAGTCACTTTTAAAATAGGGAGGTCTGAGTAATCACTTAAAGCTGTCATTTCACAGACTGCTGAGATCTCCTAAGGGCTTCCTGCTACTGAAGGAGAAAGTCTTTTTTCCTTTGTCCTTGGTCCTGCCTCCCCCACTCCAAACCCTGCCACTTTGGTTCCTGCTCCTAGCTAGTGTTTTTCTCATCCCTTAAACTGGCCCTGATATTGTGTGAGCTGATTTAACTCATTAACTCAGCAGAAAACTATCTCATTCCTTTTGCTGGGTTTATTTTCTATCAGATTAATGTGTTAAATCAGGTCATGGCAGGAACTGAACATCACAGGGATATAAGTGGAAGGAATACACAACAAGGAATGTGGCAGGAGGAGACAAAGGGAGGACAGAAAGTAATTCTTAAATGACTCATCACATCATGTGGAAAGTCTGTCGGGATGAGGAATATACTCATCCATTATTTAGTACAGACCATGAAGTAATTAAGCTTTAACAAATGCTCTTGTATGAGTTCTGTATGGGTCAAGTGTTTCTAGAAAGGCATCCCTGCCTTTCTTTGTCCTTGGATGTTTCTTTTACGTATATTACCAAGCAAGTCCACTAGGTTTAAAGACCAAACTAAATGGATGAGAAACAGTACCCTAAACTTTCTGCAGTGGTCTTCTGCATTTGTCTGGACTTCAGTTATCTAGAGCAGTATTACACCCATCTAATTCTTATTCTGAGTTTGAAAGTCCCCCAAAATCACAATTATCCAACAGGCTTCCACATCTCCCATGTCATCTGGATAAACCTCATTATAGAGCCTTTAATCCCAATCCCTAGGATGAATATCATGCACAGATATTTTGCAAAAAGCAGTTATGAATGAGAGTTATGTGGCAGCCTGCTCAATCTACTGCTTAGTCACAGACATCAGGCCAACCCACTTCCCTTGCTTGTATGTACCATTTATAGACCACAAGGAAATGGTGCTTACAGATGTCAGAAAAAAAAGGAATCAATCCCACTGACTTGCATAGTGAGTGTTTTGACACAAACAAGGCTATTTTTAGCAAATGAAGTGGAACAGCTTAGAATTCTAGGCAAATTTTTCTCAAGTTGCCAGTCCTCACAGCTGCCAGCCCTGTGTCACACCTCCATGCACAGACATACTGCCAGCCAGACAAGAGGAAGTGGGGTAAGAAGGCATGAAAGGCTGAGAAATATTAAAAGGCTCAGGATACTCGGTGTTAACCAGAAAATGCTCCAAATTTTAGAGTCCATTTAACAATTTAATTCTAAAGTTTTAATGATTTTTTTTTTTAATCCAGCACCAGGAAATGTGCCCATGTAGATTTATCATTCACATATGCATAAACTCAATCCCAAAAGTGGAGTTATAAGAACAAACATGACAGAGGGCACATTAAGGAAAAAATATCTCAATACGCATTCCTCCTCTGTGTACTTTCATCAACCCTCTGCTACCTGCCCTTGTACCACGCAAAAGAGACTTTTCATCCAACCCACTACAGTTGTAACCTTCTGTAACTAATATAGTCCTGGAATTACCATGGCATCAGTGGTGGAAATTCCTGCTTGGTTCTTTAGCGCTGAACAGAATAGAATAAATTCCAAGCTGTGGATAAGCATTAAAAGTCAACACCACCCTCACAGCCCTGCCATCAGAAATTACTACCCCCAGGTGGTTTGGATGAGTGGAAAGTCGGTCTGGACTTCACCGTCCTTAAGTACAAAAGCCAGTAGCTTTGCTTAAACTCTGGATAACAGTGGGACTAAGCAGGACTGTTGAACTTTTCCCAAACATGTGTTTTCCATATAACTCCTCTAATGACAAACGCCTCCAGGGAGGGGCAGAGCACATAAAGGGATAGACGTGGCAGCTTGCCTCACCACAAGTGCACTCACCAGATCTTATCTGGCTACATCATGTTTCAAACTGTCATCTCTGAAACTAGATCTAAAACTCGAAATCACACAATTTGTCAACCAGCCCAGTCATCTGAATTGCCTATCTGCATGTTTTGCAAAGTCTTACAGGGGTCACTTCAGTTTTACACAGTCTTAGTGCACAGTCTTGGTACCAGTTTCCTCTTTTTACTGTATTTATGTCACAAACAGGAAGCAAATTAATCCACAGGCTTTCTAAAAGTAATACATTCACAAAAGTTTGATTTGCTTATCTACAGGAAACATCTTTGTCACCAAAATTAACTTCTTAACACCGATGTAGTCTTAAGAAGCAGGCATTCTTTATTACGGCACCGGATGCATGGGGGATCGCTCCACCTACCGTGCGTGCTGACTTGTCTCTACAAAAGCTTCATACTATCAAAACATGCATATTCATTACTTTTCCAAGAAATTATTAACATTCATCACATTTCCAAGAATCCATTAATATATGTAAATGTTCTTTTCGCATGTGTACTGCTCATCTTTGGGGGTGTCCTTTGGTGGTCATGAAACTTTTGTCACTGTGCCCTTTAGCTGAACTTTACCTTTGCACACGCTCAGTTCATCTTTTGGCCTGTTTACAACACTTCTATCTCCACAAAACTAGTTTATTCTAGTATCACTATCTTATGTACTATCTTATTGCTAGGACTCGGCGCCTCAAATCCAGTACAAACTTGACTAGGCCCAGCAGATATGCAACTGTATTTCAGTGTCACATTGTTTAAGCAGAACGGTATGTTCTCTCAATATCATCTTGAGTAATATTATGGTAATCACAGGCACTAAAGAAATGAGCAGCAAGTAAACAAGGACAAAAAAAACATGTTTCAATGAGCTATTTTCAGCAAAACAAGGAAATACAGGTTTCAGGAAAATAAAATGTCTCATTGCCCTCCAGTGAAAGTACTTTGTTAACTCAGGGGCTACATTTGCCTATAAGCTTAGAATCAGGCAATGGGGTAGTCTGATGCTGACAGCACTTAGCACCAGTGTGATGATGACTTGCCTGCATGTGTAAGAGGAGAACACAACTCCAGAAGACTCTGAACTGGATGTCTGCAAAGTATGGCTGACAACACTGTGCAAATGGGCACCATACTTTTTGTGCTTAAAGCTGGTGCCCTCTTTCTCCTCACCCTGACCCTATGTCTGCTTACTCAGCTGTACTGCAGAACCAGACAGGTAGAAAGATACCTTCTTTTGGAACAAAACCACCACCTTCTGGACACTCTGGGTTAAGCTATAGGGAAAATTAATACTATCGCTCTGCACTGTTCATTTAGACTGTATCTCTATAGACTATTGATTTGTTAATTAATATTCTGACTGACTTAATCCTAGGGTTCTTCAAAATTGAGCCTGTTAACTCTAGTAATTCTTTCCCAGTGGCATTCAGGACAGAGATATAAAAAGACAAGAAAAAGTCACAGCATACCTTAGTACCTAGTTTTAGCTGATGTGCAACCAGATCACAGGAGTCTGGGCTGTCGGAAGCTTGACTGCTGTGAAAGACAAGCATTGTTTTGTTTAATTTCCAGATTTGGTGATTGCAAATAGTATTTTGCAGCATTCATTCCAACCATTAGCAAGTGTTTTCTGTAGTAACCCTAGCTGTAGAGATGTGAATGTGTTTTCCACATGCCTGTCTTACAGATCAACATTTTAATTTTACAGACTGTCAGGTAACCTGCAGGAAGTGGGCATCTGTAGTAAGATAGGGTCTGGCGGCCGGAAGATATCGGGCTGTACGGAAAGGTAAGACACCCCCCTCTCTCTCTCC